GTTGTGTAGAGTGATGAAAAGGATGAAAAATGACACCACAATTCTTTTACCCATTCGATCCTTCTGCAAATTTTTTGTGAATATAGAAGAAAAAAGCTTCGTAAAATAGAGGATTAAAAAAGTGAGAAATGAGAAAAAGAATGCAAAAGATTGTGGACGGTGAAAGGAAGGAAAAACAGAAATTTTGACTATATGTTTGGGGGAATCTTGTGATCTATTGGAGACTTGACAATGAAGATTTGAAGACAAGAAAATGAGGAAAAGAAAAAGTATGTTTTGATAAGTTAGCGCACAAAATAGAAAGCATCATGAGATTTGCAAAGGTTTCTTTTACAAAAATTCCTGAATGAGCTGAGCATTTCAATTAAAAGAATTAAAATAATTTCCAAAATAAATCTGAGAGCTAAAAATTTTTTGAACAAATTATTGATTGATTTACCAGCCTACACTTGATCAAGATTTGAATGTTATTGATCTTCAACAACAAGAAAGAATCTAGCGATTGGGTTTTGCGTTCTTTGCTGAACAAATCAAAGCTTTGTGAACAAATCAAAGCTTTGCTGAACAAATCAAAGCTCTGCTGAACAAATCAAAGCTTCAGAACAAATCAAAGCTCTGCTGAACAAATCAAAGCTTCAGAACAAATCAAAGCTCTGCTGAACAAATCAAAGCTTAGTGAAAGGAAAAGATTAGTGAAAGGAGTGCTTGGATTGGCGTGAAAATTGAAGATTGACGTGACGTGAACTTGGATTGACTCTTTTTCGCATTTGTTTTTGATCTAAAGAAAAATGAGAGGACACCGAAAAAATAGGATACAAACAGACAGATACCACATAGGATATGAAGCTCTCGTGTTGCCCATCGCTGAAGGAAAGCAGGTGACGCGGAGGCAAGAAAAAGACACGAATGGGGAAAGGTACGGTAAGCGGGACAGGAAAAGGGAGGAACGGCAATACGATCTACATATGCACCCGATGATATTCAGAATATTTAAATTGGCTAGTCCAACATTAAGATATTTGAGCTCAAAGTTGGGGTGCAAAAGGGGATGAGTATCGAATAGAATGCACTTTAAAAGAACACGTCATGCACAAGGGTCTTGTAGCTTCGAGTTTAGCAAATTTCGAAGTGTAATATCTTTTTTCCAGTCAGGCGCATTTTTCAGTTGTCAGAATTTCTATTTTTACATGCAAGAAAAACTTTAATAGACAAAAATTTTAAAAAAACGAAAAACCGGCGGAGTTTTGGTGCTCAAAAGTCGTAACATTTGAAAAAACACAGAAATTATCAAATTTTAATACTTCTTAATCACAATCGTCCCTGTCTTGGTTCAGCTGGTCCGTGATGTTGCAAAAAACACCATTGAACAAATATTTTATTAGTAAGTTTGAACGAGATTGGGACGGATTACTTCAAGTGTTTGCAGAGAATGTAAAAAGTAAAAAATGTAAACTTGTTTTTGCTTTAAATTCGATAAAAAGTTATATAAAAGAATTGGTTGAATCAATTCTTCTTCGAAACCCATTCATCGGACACCCCGACGACAGCAATAACTCCAGCCAGGCCACCCATTCATCTGCCAATGCACAGCCCGCAACATGTTCGTTTTTGAAAACATTAATCTCTAAGAATATTGAACTCTCGCCTTTCATGGTGATCTTTTTCTTCAATCTTTCTCGGTTCAAATTCTCTCGCGCTTGATATCTTTTATACGTTTTATAGCAATAAAAATCTTCTATTTGAAGCAAACTATTAATCAATTCATAAGCTTAAAAAACAGATTTATGACAAAGTGTCCAAAGAATTTTCGGCTAACTTTTTAGACTAACAAAAAGTCCCCAATTAATAGCAAACATTAGAACCGGACTGTTGCTAGGCAGCCAGGTAAATTGCGGACTTCATCCTTGCCTTGAGATTAAAAGCTGCAAAAAATAAATCTCTCTATTTTTGGATTCTCATTACATTCGACGTTGCATGATTGTTATTATCGAGCTACGACCAATTGTTTTGCCCCTTCTGGAATTCGTGCACTAGTCTTCTTGCAAAAACGAGCGGGAACGAAAATGCGTATAAAATCTTTGAATGAAACTGGGCACACTACTGTACAAGCGTTTGTTGGATCTCATAGAGTTTGTATAAGAGATATTTTAAGTGCTATCCATCCAATTATCCAACAACAAACATCAGGCAAACAAAACATCAACAACACCATTAAGCTGAACATTGACCAAGTGCAACCATTAACTCGGACTTGGACTTGGACAATTTCATATCTGGTTTCTTTTTCCCCTTTTTTACTATTTTTACACACTTCACCTTTCTCCTTCAAATAAACAATCGATTTCGCTTCATTTTCACTTTTTACTCTTAAAATAGCTTTATTTTCAAAAGCTATTAGATATCTATTAGAAAATCTATTATCTAAAGCTTCTTAAAATCAAAATTTCATCAAAATGCCATCGATTAAACGACTCAAAAATTTTTGCAACTCAAATTTGATCAATTTTTAAAAAAATGCCGTTAGCATCGCTCGTTTCTGATAAATGAGGCTGATACCCATCGGGCAGTTTCTTTTGCACCACCCTAATAGGAGTGCTTAGTCATGCCAAAAAATATTCCCAAATTTGATGGTGGATTTTGGTGCCTTTTCGAGAGTCTGAATGTGCTTCTTCTCGAGTCTCGGATGCCTTTGCGAAAAGGAAGATTTTTAACAACTTTTCCTTGCCAATTCCTTCATTTTATCGGCTCATTGATAGTCAATAAGGCTAAGATAAACTTGATCAAACTTAATGCAACTCCAGCTGTTAATCGGTTGATAATCAAAGTTCATCTACACTTTATTCATCTCCAATTTCTAGGCGCTGAGGTCCCGAGATTCCATGTGATTCGCTCTACAGATGCCCATCAACCGAGCAAATCCCGTCACATCCGTATTCACGGAAAACCCCGACGATGTGCTCCAATTGACAGCCAGTTCTAAACCGGATTCAAACAAAATCCTTCACATTTCCAACTTGCTTCCTTAAAATCATCAATCAAATGGTCTGCTGGTTAAGCTTACTCACTTTCAAGCCTAATTCTTGAGTCCAACATCATTCATTTCAATCTGTGTCTTCTCATCTTGTTCCAATTTGCCTTAGACAAAGTGCTTACAAAGTCCCACTCCTCGTCTAGTCCAATTTTACAATCCACTTTAATCAAATGTTGTTTTTTTCTAGAACATTGTCAATTTTACTTGATATTCAAAATATCTCATCTTTGTTTTAAAATTTCTCTAAAGAATCCACAGCCTGTGCGGGTTTTTATACTTTTCCGTTTTCCACTAAAGAAAAGTGATGGTTTTTGGATCGTTGGTGTTTTGAAATAAAAAATTAAAAGAAAATCGTTGACAGGACCAGCAACAAGTGCAGAATGACAAGGAAAACTTCTTCTTTGCAACTAAAACAAATTTGATTAAGCCAAGAAGCGTTTACGAGTTTTGTAAAACAAAAGAAATCCGGTGATTATCTTGGTACTCGATGGTATTTGAAAAATCAACGTACATATAGGTATATTAGAGGTTTTACGCCAATTTATTTGACTATTTTGCTACAAAAACAGTCAATCGATTTTAAAACATTATCATTCACCGAAGAATGCTTTCATTGGTATCCAGATCATTGAATTCTATTCCCTGGAGAAGTTCGACTCCATCCAATCTTTGTCAACCTTTGCATAAACTTACTTTTATCCATTCTTCAGCTTCGTAGCTTGTACTTGTACTTATTCTTGTACTAGAGTCTCCTCTCACTAATTTCTGTTCTAGAGGTCACCTAGTTTTGAAAATGACCGTCTTTGAACGTTCAGCTTTCAATTGATCAGCTTAATTTTAGTCAAATTCAATCTGCAAATCACAAGCCTCAAAAAATCAGACTAAAATTGGGCTAAAGGGAAAACTGGTAACGGTAGTTAGAAGTTTTATACTAATTTATTTGACTATTTTGCTACAACAACAGTCAACCAAATTTAAAACATTATCATTCACCAAAGAATGCTTTCATTGGTATCCAGATCATTGAATTCTATCACATGGAGAAGTTCGACTCCATCCAATTTTTGTCAACCTTTGCATAGACCTACGTTTATTCATTCTTCAGCATCGTAGCTTGTAATGGAGTCTTCTCTCACTAATTTTCTTTCTAGAGGTCACCTAGTTTTGAAAATGACTGTCTTCAAACGTTCAGCTTTCAATTGATCAGCTTAATTTTAGTCAAATTCAATCTGCAAATCACAAGCCTCAAAAACTTCAGGTGTTTGTAGCAAATAGAAAATTTCAAAAACTGAGGCTAAAATTTCAATGTTGAGGGCTTCGAATTCAAAAATTTGGAGCTGGTTTAATTTCTGTTTGTCTGTTTAATTGTTAATTTTCATTGGATCAAACCACTCCAGAAAGCTTACCATGATACCTTTATAATGACTTTGATAATAAAAATTGCTTGACAAAGATATCTGGCCACAGCAAATCCCACAAAGATATAGGAGCTCTACATGGAAAGATTTAACGCCTAACAAGCAGCGACATAGCTAACAAGCAGCTGTCACACCTAAGAAGCAGCTGACATTTAAGTCTAGTCGTCTTTCGAGATTTCGAAAATAAAAAAAATCTTTTCTAGCTTACTTAAGCTAGCAATAATGACTGAAATAATCAAAATAGACTCAATTCTTGTTTCAAAGTCAAAGTTGTTTCAAAGCAGTTGTGTTCTTCAAGTATATTTTGTGCTCAAACACACTCTTTCTAGTCCATATCTGAAGTTCTTTTATATATGTTTCGTATTCGGACAATGAATGATTAACATTTGCATTTGTTCAGCGAGAAAGTGATGAATCAATAAAAGAGAAAAATCGACAATTCCAAAAATCTTTTTGTGCAGAGAGAAAGAAAATTCGACAACAATTCTATGAATTCTAGTAAGAGAGCCGATTTGGAGTAATTCGAGGTGGAAAAGGAGATCATTCCAAACGTTAGTCGAATTCTGTAAATGTTTCCAGTTAAATTTTGATAGTTTAGCTGGAGTTTATCTAAAGTGAATGATTTAACTGGATTCTAACAAAGAACGGTTTCTAACTGGATTCTAACACCAGGAAGGCTTTTAACTGGATTTTCCTGTAAACCAGACAAAGCTAGAGCCAGGCCTTGGATCTTCTTTGAGCTGCTTGTCTCTTCCTGGTGCAGCCGAGTCTTAGCTTAGCCTAACTTAAACCCTAGGGTTTTAATAATTTTGTTGGGCTTTTTATAGATTTGTTGATAATCCGTCAATCATTGATCATTGATCATTAATGTCATTGTTGTTTTACCTTCAAAACTCACCCGTATATGGCTAAGACTTGATTTTCACGAATTCATAGGGTGTACTTGACGACGGTGTAGCACCACTGAATCTCAAAAAGTCCCGCTGCAATTGACGCAATGATCCTTGATTCTGAAAATTGAGATTTTTATGGGTGTTTTGAAAGTTTAAAAGCTTCAAAGGTCGATGAAATCTCTTTACTTTAAAGCTAAATATTTGAATCATAAAAATACAAATTTAAATGGATAAATCTCCCCTTTAAAGGCTTTTAACTGAATTCCAACACCAGGAAAGGCTTTTAACTGGACTACCACTACAGAAATTCGTTTAAAGTTCTAGCATTAAATTAAAACGAACCAAAGAATGAAACATGCACATGTTCGGTTCCTCATCTTCACCATTTGGACAATCTCGATTTCCATTACACAATTCAACCGCTCTGATACAAGGCCAATCAATTGGATCATGCGGCTAAAATGGGAACCTTTATCTTACTCGAGTAATATCGGAACAAGCTATGGTACCCTTCAAAGCACCGCTGATTACTGGCACCACACAACTCACTCTAAGTGAAGGACAAGGAGCCCATTTTTCTGTGGAAAATCTTTCTGCTTGACACACTGAAAGATTATTAGTTTTTGTTTACTTTTAAAATATTAAGCTGAAACTTGTTTCATTTTTAATCGTCTACATTTTAAAGTTAATAAATCTTAAAATATCTCTTATACAAACTCTATAAGATCTTATACAAATAAAATAAACTCTCTTATACAAATTGCTTTTTAAATTTGCTTTAGAATTTTAAATTAAAATTGCTCTAAAAACCCACCTCTTAAATTCGTGAAATTCAATAGCTTCTCCTTGTCCTGAAAATTTGAAATCATTCATTTTAAAACCTGTGGATTTTACCTTGTAAAAAGAATAAAGCCAAAATCTATTGGTTTTCCATTGGATTTTTTGCTATTACTAAGCTAATTAAAAATTTGATTTTAATTAATTTCAATTGTTTTTGACGTCAGTAATGGAAAGTATAGAAAAAGACAGATGTTATTTTAAAGGGAAAACGTCTGGAATGACTTGTGATAAAAAAGGAAAGCTTTCTAATGAGAAAAAGGAAGAGATTATTGCATTGTCACAGATTCAATTTTGAGCCCATACTTTGAAATTCCCATTTATTGGATGGAGGATTGGAGGATGAAAGACCTGGGGATTGTTCCGGTTTTTTTCAAGCTCAGGTTCATTTTTCGTTCGATTAAACATTTCCTATTTAAAGGAATTTGTGCTTTTGTCATT